CTGTGGGCTAGAAAAGCCCTAGAATGCCATAAATCATAGACATCCGACCTTTTGACATTGTGGTATGATGCCATCTATAAACCAGCTGGGCTGCATTCATAGCTTTGCTGGGCTGCATGTAGTTTGCAGACTGAAAGTTGGATGTGACTGCTGTGAGCAGAACTTAAAGGGTGCGGTTTGGGCGGCTGGAATGCTGAAATGAAAGAAACTAATCCTGGCTCATGGGATTTCAAATGGGAAAGAGGACTCTAGCAGGACTTGAGGCTAGAGCCTGCCTGTGCTGTATTCTGGAAAAGAATGGCTATGTTTTGCCCATGGTTAGAAAACTTGTGTTATTATTCTACATGCTATAGATGTTTTATAGATACTTTTACACCTTTTGAGTTTTTGCGTTTGTAGTGATTGACCTTTTGGTATTTTTCATATCAGTAGAAATTTAGATTATGTTGTAACTTGATTTTTTTAACACTAAACCAAAATGGAGCACATAATAATGTTGAATTACCTATATTTTTCCTGCTTTTGGGGTTTTATAAAACTATTCTAATTAAAAAATTATTTATAGTATATTAGATGTCTAGGTTATGAAATGTTAAGATTGAGACTCTGTAGATGTTGAGTAAGTACATGGATCTGACTTAATGTTCCTCACCAGTAATAAAGAAGAACTAGTCATTACATTTTATGTTTTTTAATTGCTAGTTGGTTGATAGACATTATAGCCCAGATTTTGATATTACTTCTAGGATATAGAAACTAATAATAAGTCTCAGTTCTTTGAGGTGTATGATGAAATGTTGTTTATGGGATGTCTTCTTTGGTCATGTTGTCAACAGAATATGTTCTTTAATGGATACCCAGTAACATAGCCACTGCATTTTGTTATGTCTGTCTTTACCCTTTACTACAATTGGAACTTTTTGTGTTTGGCAGCAATACTTTCTAATGAAAGGAATTTTGCATGCACATATACATACATACGCATGTATGTTTAGATGAAATAAATTTTTATTTTCCAGAATGGAAATAATGGTTTAGCGATCAGATTAACACAGTATTAATCAGAAATGAACTTTTTCCTGGGATTCACTTTTAAGCTGGCATGTTGAAATGATCTGGGACTGCACATCTGAATTCATTTTGTAAAATATGGCAAGCAGCTGCATCCCTGTGGAAGCTGAACCAACTGCAGGACATTAACCCATTGAGAAGATTACAGTAGGGTTTCAGTTCCATGTTAACTGTATTTATTAGTGAAAATTGACTTGAGTGCTTCTGCTTTTAACAGACTTTTTATGTCTAGAAGAAAGGAAATAAAGCATTGGAATGATAGGACTTTGATGTGTAAAGAAGTTAATGTCTAAAGAAGTAATTATCTAAATCAAACAAAATGTGGGTACAGGAAAGAATTATTTTGGAGTCTAATGAGCTATCAGCTCATCATGTCAAGAAAAATGTTCTTCACCTGTTTGATTTAGAAATTAAGTAACTTGTCTGTGGAAGACTGGTTGTGGTTGTAATAAATTTGGATTGGAACCCTTTACCTCTTTCCAATAAATACTCTTGATAGGAACCATTTCTAGTGGGAGACAACTGAAAGAAAACTGGGCATCCATCCTAGGGCTTGGCCCTTAATGTAAATTTGCCCTATGAAATCTGTCCTCTTTAGAGAGTTAAAGTAGGGTGACTGGATTTGAACTGAAGAAAGGACAGATTGCTTCAGCGGTGCCTCACTCACTATAGACTATATTAACCCCACACAGTGCTGTGTGTATCAGATCTGAAACTGATCAACTCAAGGCCTGATTTGGGAGGTTGGGATTAATACACAATCCTTGAGATTAGTATTTCTTCAGGCCTTGTGTTTGAACCACTAAAAACACTGGGTGTGGGGTGTGTGTGTAAGTGGTTCTTGAAAAAAGGAGGTTGTATGTTCTCTTTCTGATGGTCTGGTTGTGGAAATCTGTAGTTCTTGTTTTCTTCTAGTCATAGACTGGTGGGGTAATTATTATTATTTTTTATCCCAAGTTTCCAGCTGGAGTTTGATGGCTCGTGCCTGAAATCCCAGAACATGGGAGGTGGAGGCAGGGAGTTCATTGCCGACTTGGAATAATGAGGGTATCTCAGAATCAAAACAGAGCAAGGCAATGTGGGTAGTTTCTTTCCTTACTTTGTTTGTAGAAAAATAGTAATTATTTCAAAGTTATTGTGAAAAATAGCAAATTTATGCTTAAAGGAAAGTGATAACTTTTCTTAGCATTAGATTTCTTTTTAAAAAATGCGTTTGGGCATTAGTTTTGGATTGAGTGAAATGTTTTTGTCTTTTCAAGTGTTCATGTTGTGTGCCTTAGTTAGTTCTAGCCACTCAGCATAGGCCAAAGGAATATCAGGGTATTTTAGACATCATCACATGTAAGTATCTCTACAAACTTATGACATAACTAAGGTGCTGTTCGCCCTAGAGCCCTGTGCCGTGTTGCCTTTTCAAAAGCTTCTCATCTTGGACACTTGAGTGCAGTAGCTTTTTCTCTAGCTTAGCCTCATGGACCCTGTCCTTGAGGAGTGCCCCTGGGCTAGATCCCCTTGGTGATTTTTATCATTTTTCACACATTTGGTCAGATTAAAAGGGCATATTATGAAAATGAATTTGACAGCCATACGGAGAGTGACCTGAGCGTGAGAGAGGTAAGAGTTAGTGGAGGGCTGTAGTGTAGAGAAAGGGGCAGGAAGAGGACCTTGTCTTCCTGTACATCGCGGGTATAGGGAAGGTGAAAGATAGGAGATTTTTAAAGTTAGGTACTCTAAATTGATATAAAAGCTTTTGTTAGATCAAGATGGGGTATTTTAAATATCTTTATTTTAATAGCTAACATTTATTGTGTACTTACTGTATCAAGATTGTTCCAAATTGTTTTCTGTATGAGTTCATCTAATTGTCATAATAATCTTTAAAAAGCAGGGCTATTATTCACATTTTTTAGATGAGATAATGGGAGCAGAGAGAAGTAAAGTAACTTCTGTAAAGTCTTAACAAAGTAACAGAGCTGAGGATTGAACCCAGACAGTCTGTGTCTGAAGCCAAACGTTGAAATCAGATCTTTATGCCCAACTCTAACTTCATCTCATACTTTCCACAGAAATCAGGTGAAGCATGTTTTCTTCCATTACTGTGAGCCTGGTGATCAGCAAGAGGGCCTCAGGAGATAGCACCCTATGTAGACATTGTGTGATTTGCCAGGAACTGTGTGTGTGGGGGAACTAGTTAGTGACTCATAGCCCAGAGAGATAATATGCCTGGCCTTTGAGATGTGCAGAATGGGAAAACATCTATAGGCCGCTGAGAGCTGATGCACACGATCGGGCCGCATGTCTCCACTGGTGGGAAGCCTGTCTCCTATTATATGTAGTTTGTGACCCTGTAGGCTGTCTCTTCAGGCCAGATGTTCCACCCTAGGAAAGTCTTTCTCTGCCGGGGCTTTGCCTTCTGCAGTGGTGTCAATGACCAGCCCTTCTGTGCATCACCAACTCTAGAGGCTGCGGTACAGTTAGATTATTCCTGGGCTTCTCTCAACTGCTTTAACATGTGTTCTCAAGTTTGGATGTTCTTCCATAGAATCTGCAAAGTATTTCTAATTCCAACCTTAGGGAAAAATGATGGTATTATCAGGTTTATATGAACATAGGGAATAATATTTATTATGTGTTTATTGTATGGTAATTAGTACTTACTTTGATGACTTATGTTCTTTTAACTAGTTCTTGTTTATTAATTGTTTTATTTAGTGCCATGTACAATAAATAGAAATACATGCATTAGAATTGGCTAGTTTTTCATTATATATCAGCCTGATTTGATAGGAAAAATGTCACATTTTAAATTGAGCTTTGCTCATAAGATTTTAAAATATAATGCTCACTTCTGATCTTTTGATTTTCTGCTATAATTTAGTCTTTGGTTGAAATGAGAACTAGATTATGCTGTGGTTTTCTCATTTTGTGTATTATAGTTATAAGAACGTCTTTAAATTCTTCCCTGGTACTCCTAAAATAAGTGTGTGTGTTCATGTATGTTCCTGTGCATGTGCACATATGTGTCCTATTTGTGTGTGAGGCATATGTGGAGGCCAGAGGTTGATATTGGGTTGTCTTTCTCAGTCACTTCTTCACAGTAATTAATTAAAATTAATTCATTAATTATCAAAACAGTATTTCTATTTGAAAGTATCCAAAGCAGATGCTCCATTCTATCCTAGATGCTTAAGTGTTCAGCAGTGATTAGGTATGTTGTGTCACGCTAGATAATAGATCTGCTGATCTGTTATCATTTTATAGTAATTCAGAGTAGGTCAGTCCTCAAAGTCATTCCTCAAAACCCAGAGCTCCCAGTTTCAGCCAAACTGGCTGGTCAAAGAGCATCCAGAATCCACCTGCCTCTCTCTCCCTCAGGGCTGGGATTACAGGAGTGTGTTGCTGTGCCAGATTTTACGTAGGTGCCTGGATCTAAACTCAGGCCCTCATGCCCGCAAAGCAATCACGATTGCTACAGCCAACTCCCCATCTCCCAAAGTGACTTTTGTTTTTATTCGTCTGTGTGAAATGGGGGAATATGTGTTAAGGGGCTGTAGGACACTTCCTGAAGAATCACTAATGGGACTTAGGGTGCTGTGCAATACTCTGGAGAGCTACCAAGTGATGCCAAAGTAGTTTAATGAGTATTTCTGTTCTAGTACTTGCTATAGTGTAGATACTGAATGTGTATCAGTCATGTATGTGATTCTTTGATGCCTGAGCTGACTAAGCAGGTTTCTCCCACTGTGCCTACTGCTTGTCATCTGAATAAAGACATTAAGTAGAAGACAGTTGGATTTACTACAGAACTGAAATTATCTGTAATTTGAAGATTTCTGTACCTTTTGAAGTAGTTTAGAAATGCTTCTATTTTGTGTACTTTTTATAGCTAAATATGTTTGTAAGTTTTATCTTTTTTTCTTTTTCTTTAGATGAATAATACTGCAGCTAGCCCGATGTCTACTGCCACTTCGAGTAGTGGAAGAAACCCAGGGAAGGCTGTAAGCTTTGCTGCAGAGCTGCAGAGCATGCTGTGAGTGTGTCGTTACACGTGTTCTGCTGCTGTTTTACACTGATTAGTGTTGAAAAAGGAAACGGAAATAAAATGCATACATCTTAGCTTCATGTAATTTGTATGTAAACAGAAGTCAGGTGCTCTCAGCGTTTAAATAGCTCCAGTGAGACAGGCAGGATTGGCTCAGTGCTGCACTGGTGCACTGCAGCTGAAAACTGGGCGCCAGCTCACCTTTTTAGGATAGTCAAAATGTTTTCAGAGAAGGTTGCAGTTTTTCTTAGTTCTCCTAAGTCAGTGAGTTCAAAGTATTTTTTAATTTTGATAATATTTGAACCGTTTCATTTCAGATTATTGTGAGAAACACAAAGCATTAAAAAAATCACATGTATTGAATCTTTGGAAATTGCCCATTTGTTTAAGAATTCTTCCCAGAAGCTGTCCTCAGCTTGCAGTAATGAGACAATTTATCTTAATTGGGTGGGGAAGCAGATTAGTTAGGGAACCGTGTAAGCACTGGGCTCTTTCTTAGTGGTTCAGGAGACTGGTATCTCCAGGAAGAAGCAATGTTACTTCTTTCCCAGTGGTTCCCAATGATCGCAATGATCAGGGAGTTTAAAAGAACATTTCTGTGGAAAGTTTAAATGCCTTCCTCATGTGAATATTGATAGCCTTTAGAGTGGGTTGACTCTACTGTGTGATAATAGTTCAAAGCACAGTTTTGGTAAGTTTGATCGCATTTGATAGTCTCTCAGTAGACATACTTCAGAGAAAGTCTTAGCATTGAAAGCGTTAACATCACAGTATCACAGACTCTGTGCTTTCAGCATAACTTTATAGTCTTAATTATTGAGGATCTGGAGAACTTTGGTTGTATGGATCATCTATAAATACTGAGTTCTTAGAATTTAAAACTGAGAAATAAAAAATTATGCTTTCATTTGAAAAATAATAAACTTATATGTACATATAATGTATTTCTTTTAAAATATGTTCTAAAACCAAAACTTGATAACACTTGTGATGGCTAAGGTGGGGATAAGCTCTAATTTAGAAGCTGGGTGTTGTGACCCTGCCTGTATTTAAATTGTGGAACGCTTTAAGTCTATGTATTTGTATACATGTTTAAGTTTTTCATTCCTGTGGCACCAAATTGATTTACTCGTAGTTTTTAATGTGAATTTGAACATGTTCAGAGTCCTTAAATTATAATATAATGAACCCCATGTATCCTTTATATAAATTTAACAGTAATTTCCCTTTCACAGTCTTACTTGACCTTTCTTCCTAATATCCATTTTAAAAAAAGAAATATTCTAAAGCTAATCTAATAGAATTTATTAAAACAATATATGTTAGTAGGTAAAACACTGGGTGATGTGTAGCACGAGGCAGCAGACTATAGCCGTGTAACCCATCTCAGCAAATGAAGTTTCCTTTGACGTCAGTGATGCGCAAACGTTTATCTGCCACTCATTGCTGTCTTCAGGCTTCATGGCCAAAACTAGTGTTTACAGCAAAAGCCATGTGGACCGTGAAGCTGAAAATATTTACTAACTAGTTTTTTTGCAGAAATTGACCTCTGAGTTATAAAACCAGCTCTATAAAAGGAAAACAGAAACTTAGGGGTGGTTCTGCCTAATATTTATTTCTGATAGACCTAAGACCATTTGAGAAAGTTGAGCAAAAGAAAAGCTAAATTCAGTACTTTGTATTAAATACTTTTGCACACATCTTCCCAAGCGATCTACCTAAGCTGGGTTCAGAATGTAAAGGTTATTGTTGGCTGTGACTCTGGAATAAGCGTGCACTTTTCCTTCATTTCAGACCTCAGGGAGAGGCCACTCCTAATAGTACGTTCAGCATGGAGAGGCTGAAGTTTTTCCCTTTATGAATTTTTCCTCAGAAAGGGAACTAGAGTCCAAATGAGGGGAATTGTGTTAAATTTGTCAGTATATCCTATTGCTTTAAAATTTTCAGGCTTTAGATGCTACATGAGTGAAGTCAGTACGCATGTAATGCTTGGTTGTGTGCGGCCTTTTAGATGAGCAAGTCCAGATTTAACCCCCTGCATACTGGTAGGAATTTCACTCCAAATCCTTGCTGCTGCTGCTTCACTGTTAAGCCTGTTGATGTTGCTGTTTCAGTCCTCTGTAGCTGCCATCTTCCTATCTATTAACTAGTAGTAAGATGTTTGTCTTTTGGCTACAGGCTGTCTAACTGTGGAACATTACTTAATCTTTTTCTTTTCAAGAATTGGTCTTACTGAAAACTAACTAGTTGTCAATCACAATGAAAATTGTCCAGTTCAGTTAATAAATCCAAAATGGCAGCCTTAATAACCAGAAGAGAAAGAGCCTGAGGGCAACTCCTGAGTTCTGTGAACTAGAGGAGGCGGAAGGCTCACACAGCCAGAGAAAAGGAGCAGTTTACTGTGGCCCCCGCCAAGGGCAAGTTGTGTACCAGGGATGTGGGTGTATGGGAGCTGATTCCTTGTGGTTCTGTTTTGTGTGTGTGGGTGTTTTGTCTGCAAGTCTGTCTGGGCACCACTTGTTTGCTTGGGGCTGGGGAGAGCGAGAGAGGGTGCTGGCTCACCTGTAACTGGAGTTAACAGTTGGTTGTGAGCCACCAGGTAGGTGCTGAGACTCCAACCTGGGTCCTCTGAAAGAGCAGTCAGTGCTCTTAACTGCTAAGCCATCTCTCCAGCACCTCTAGTTTTTTGCTTTTTTCTGTTTTCGTGGTTCTTAGTAATTTGTAGTTTCTATGACTTTTGTAATGACTGTCTTTTGTACCCATTCAATATATTCTGAACAGCCTGTGTGTTCTTAAGCTTTATTAATCAAGTTTTCCAGTGTTACTAAAACTATGAAATAAAATATTGGCACCTATTACCTTAAAATCAAAGAAGAAGTTTTTAATACCCTTTTTGGTATTAACTTTTTAATTTTCCTTTAAGGAAGCTAAACTGATTTGCACTTTTACCTTATTCTGAGAGACGACCTGCCCCCCCACCCCCCATCAACATGACTTTGTGTTGTCAAACTGCTGGGTCACTGAGCTTCAGCATAGTTGGTCACTTACATTTCCTGTATGTGTTTTTATGTTCTGATTCTCAGACAGTTTTTTTTGTTCTTTGTCTTTTTAATCAATGTCTTGGTTTCCTGTAGTTTATTAAGAACTTTCAGTGTCTTAAAAAAGCTTCCTTCTTTGAGGATCTCCCCTGGCATTTCCTTCTCCCAGCATTTGGGAGCACCCTTAAGGGTTGTTTAGTGTGGGAGTTTTCCTTTTCTTCTTCTTTTTAAATGTAGCTTAGTCAGTTGTACGCTGCCTTGTTGCTTCTGCTTTTGATCTGAAGTCCTCTTAATTTCGTGCACTTTCCTATATTTCAGGTTTTGGTTTCCACAGTTTAATATTAATCCATTTTGTTGTTCTATGTTGTCAGGGAAGGGTCTTCCACCACAAATTACATAAACCTTCCTTCCTTCACAACTGAAACTCTACCTTTATCAGATAATAAATGATTCCCTTTGCCTCTCTGCTTTGTTCCATTGACTTTTCTCTTCCTTTGCCAGCACTGCATTATTGTAGTTATTATAGCTTCTTAATGTGTTTTAATATTTGCTGTTATAGTTCAAGTCCGTCCACATAAGTTTTCTTTTTAAAATATTTTTGGCCCCTTCTTATTTTTATGTTTCCAGATGAATTTTTAGGAACCATTTCAACAAGCTCCAAAACAAATTCTAAGTGAAAATTTTAAGAACTTTCATTTTTTGTTTCTTTTTATGCCTTTTACTGTATTCTCAGATTTCAGACATGGGTCTTTTCAGTCCATTTTACTTTTAAAGTTGATTAATGAAGTAATTTTACATTTAGAAAGTTTATTTGAAACAACCCCTGATAGAAACAGTAAAAACAACCGGACTAATGAGTGGGCTGCTTAGCTAGTGTATGATTAGAGACCAAAACCTTCTCGGTTTTCTTTAATATTTGCTTTTCTTGTTGAGTGTAGAATTGTGCTGTGACTGCAGTATGCAAAAATCCAGCCAGCCAATTTATCACCTTAATTTTAAATCATGGTAGTGATTTTCTTATATTTGAATGACAGAAATGGTCAGTTCAATTTTTAAAAATGGATTTCTAAGATTGCATTCTGACTAGTAGAGTAATATACATCAGTGTCCGCTCAGTAGAGTCCAGAGAGGCTGAACAGATTTAATATATTCATTTTTGAGCATAAGAAAAGATGATAGAGTGGGTCTTCCTCCGACTACTTCAAAGAAGTTATTTCTACAATAGATCAGGAGTCTAGACGCATAGTGAGTACATGCAGATAGAATGCGGCGAGATTCACTAGAGTTCTGTGGGGGTCACAAGTGGTCTGTTTCTATGATAAACTGTGCTAGTTTTTTCTATCATTTATCTACTTGCATAGTTTTATTTTTTTCACTCTTTGGTATTTGCTGATTTGTTGTTGTTCCAGGCATCAGCAATGTTTCGCTGCCATGCCACTTAGAAGGCATGGCAAGGCCTCTGGCAGTGACGGATAGGGTCGCTTGAGAACAGTTAGTGAAGGAGGTGGGCAGAGAAAACTGGTTGGAAGTGTTCGCTGTGGCATGAGCTGTCAGGACTCAGCCGAGGCAGGTGGTCTGCTTTTCCTATAGCAGTGCTCTGCTGCTCTGCATAGATAGGCCAGGGAAGTCAAGGCAGTTGGGTGGATTTAGGATTCTGAAGGGCAGATGGTATAGCAAGTTATTGACATGCCGGAGGTTCTAGCCTACAGGTGAGGTATAAAATACATTGGAGGTGATCAGCATGGGTACAAAGTATGGGAAAGGATTGGAGGCTTCAGTGCGTCAGTACAATTGTGTAGAACATAAGCAGTACTTATGAGAGCTTAGAGGGTCAGCAGCCATCTGACCTGTTCTCCAGTCTATTCTGACTTCCTGTGTTGTCCCATCACCTTTCTGTGCATTTTTGACACCTTGCTTTGTTTCTTATTAATGACCTCATTTTAGTTTTTT